CTCACTCCCCCACCGGTGGGACGGGGGAGAGGATCGGAAGGGCAAAAGGGGAAAGCTTGTGGGTTGAGATAAGAACAGTTTAACAACTAAAGTAAAATTAAAATAGAACAGTAGTAATAGTAATAATAACAATAATAATAAAAACAAGTAATAATAGTACAATAGTAATACAAAGCAAGCGATACACTCTACAATTGCTCACCACCCGCCGACTAATGCCCAGCCCGTCCCCCGGCTAACTCCCCCAGTTTATATACAGAGCATGACATCACATGGTATGGAATAGCCCCTTGGCCAGCCTGGGTCAGCTGTCCTGGCTGTGCCCCCTCCCAGCTTCTTTTCACCGGGCAGAGCATGGGCAGCTGAAAAAGTCCTTGACCAGTGTGATCGCCACTTAGCAACTACTTAGCAAGAACAAAACGTCAGTGTATCATCAACATTGTTCTCATCCTAAACCCAAAACACAGCCCCATACCGGCTACCAAGAAGAAAATTAACTCTATCCCAGCTGAAACCAGGACAATGGGTATGAATACTTGAGGGAAGGGTGTGAAGATGGAGCCAGGTTCTTCTCAGCAGTGTCCAATGCCAGGACATGAGGCGACAGACACAAACTGAAACCCAGGAGGTGCTTCTGAACATCAAGAAATACTTCTTCACCATAGTGGTGACCAAGCACTGGCACGAGGTTGCCCAGAGAGGCAGTGGAGTCTCCATCCATGGAGATACCATAACCAGGGAGGTTGAACCATCTGACCTTCAGAGGTGCTGCCAACCCCACTGGGATGTTGTTGGGTTGCTTGCAAAGGGACGAGGCAAAGGTTTTTGGGGCTTGCTATCCCTCTCCCGCCTTCCTCCAGCAAGAGACTGGAGGGGGTGGTTTTTTGGGTGAAAAAGCGGTTAGTTTGGGGCTCTTATCTGAGCTAAAGTAACGCATGGAGAAATTAGGGCTGCCATGGCCAATGCCGGGGCCGCCGACCGCCCTGGATGCGCAGAGCGCATCCCGGGGGTCGACATCCCTGGCATTGGCAGCCTTATCCCCCCCCACCTTTCCCCTAAATCCCATTTTTTTCCCCCGAAACAGCCACCTGCACACACATTTCCTCGCCAGGGCCTACATGCGGCTTGAGGCCTCTTCATAGCTGTCCTCCTCCTGGGCAGAGGAGAAAGGTAACACTTGGTCTTGTGCAAGATTTCTGTTTTTTTTTTCCCTTTTTTGGCTCATTTTGGAGGTTGGGAAGGGGTGTCCCAAAGTGGGGTGGCTTGCTGTGGGGTTTTTGTGGCCTCGTTGGGGTGCGAAGGTTGTGTTGTCTCCTGGGGCTTATGTGGATGCCCTTGTCCTCAGCCATGGCTGTGTGTCTCGTGGGGCTGTATGGGGACACCCCTGTCCCCAGCTGTGGTAAAGGTTGTGCCATCAAATGGGTTGTTTTTGGGGGGACACCTTGTCCAGGTGTCCCCAGCCGTGGTGAAGGCTGTCATCTTATGGGGCCTTTTACGGGGACATGTGGTCTTCAGCTGTGGGGAAGGCTGGTTATCTCATGGAGCTTTTATGGGGACACCCTTGTCCCCAGGTGTGATGAAGACTGTGCTATCTCATGGGGCTTTTATGGGGACACCATAGCCCCAGCTGCGGTGAAGGCCGCGTCATCTCGTGGGATTTTTGGGGGGACATCTTGTCTGTGGCCGTGGTGAAGGCTGTGCCATCTCATGGGGCTTCTTGTGGACACCATGTCCCCAGCCATGGTGAAGATTGGTTATCTCATGGGGCTTTTATGGGGCCACCCTTGTCCCCAGCTGTGGTGAAGGCTGTGTCATCTCGTGGGATTTTTCTGGAGGACACCTCTTTCCCAGCCCGGCCCAGGTGAAGGCTGTGCCACCTCATGGCACTCCTGTGGGGACACAAGTGTGGCCCGTGAATGCACCGCCAGCGCTGCCAGCCCCGGCGGTCGATAACCCCTGGTAGTGAGCGAGCAACAGCACAGAGAAGGAAATGTCGATAATGGCCTGCCTTTCTTCTTTTTTCTTTCTTTTTCTTTCTTCTTTCTTTCTTTCTTTTTCTTTCTTCTTTCTTTCTTTTTCTTTCTTTTTTCTCTCTTTTTTCTTTTTTCTTTTATTTTTGTTTTTATTTTTCTTTTTTCTTCTTTTTTTCTTTTTTCTTTTTTCTTTTTTCTTTTTTTGTATTTATTTTTATTTTTTCTTCTTTTTTTCTCTTTCTTTTTTCTTTATTCTTTTTTCTTCTCTCTTTTCTCCCTTTATTTTTTCTTTTTCACTCTCACTCCCTCTTTTTTTGCCTTTTTTTTTTTTGCTTTGGGGAGTTGGGAGGGTTTCCCCTTTTTTTTTTCTTTTGCTTGCTTTTTCCCCCCTTCCTTGACTTCACTTCTCGGAAAAGAAGGAGGTTCGACCACTTGGGAGCTCCTGAGGCCGCACCCAGAGCCGGGCTTCCACCATGGAGCAGGAGACCCCGAACGGGGCTTCCCAGCCCCACCGGAGCCGCCGGACACCCGCTCCCGGGCACCTGCAGGCACCGTGCAGGGTGGCAGATAAGGAAGGGGCGGTGGGACCGGCAGGCAGAGCC